TATATATATATATATATATATATATATATATATATATCGGCTACTTTCCCTCAACCTTTCTGGTCGGCTATGGGGCCACCTAAAGTTGAGCATCTACAAGCTAACTAAGTGCACCACTGTTATATGAAACGGTTTGCTGCGTACCTGCACGATGTCCCACAGGTGCGAAATGCCCTTGCTTTGAGTCTTCAGAATGGAAGAGGTTGCACAATTGGAGTGGGATATCTGTGAATGGACATGGTACTGATCGTTGACCAATTGCACTCTAGTCTTCCTCTAGTGTTTCATACGCGCGTGTGTGCAGGTGATCCCCTAGATCCAAGCTAAATGCCTGTACACGCAGACAAAACAAGAAGAATTCTATGGAATTAACAGTCACTAGCCCAAATAAGGGTGTACCATTTGTTGGTGTCATTTATTCAGAAAAAACTTACAACAGCCCATGAGTTAAGTGACACCCAGTACCCGTACGTAAATAAGTCATCTTAGTAAAGCCTACTGGACGTCCTGTTTTTTTTCCAAGTTGCGAATACAAGTAACTCCGAACGCCTCTGCCCTATTCGGGATAGTTTGATGTGAGAATTAAATTTCGTACGTATATCGGTATAATCAGACGAACTAGAAATCTAGAATTCAGCTCAGCGTAACAACCAGCACGTATGTATTCGAATTGGCGAATATATACAGCACACAGAATATTAAAACAAGAGAATAATGAATAGAGCAATGAATAGAGTATCAGTCATGTTCATCACATTTGAATTGTACTGGCGATTTTCAGACTTACTTTGCCGGCGGCTGTAGTGGAAGTTTTACGGGCGAACATAGGTTGCCAGCAGTCAACTGGTAAACCCAAAGTAAATGAGGGCACTGAAAAGTTAAAAAACAGCCAAAGTAACTTTACACCACAAAAGTGCACATAACTTATTTTTGAGAGACTATATTTCACTACAGTGTTTATACTTAATCAGCCTTAGGTTGGAAGTAATCGAATTTTCGTACAATCCGTCCAATTTCGTTAGTCACAAAACCACAAGCAAAGGGGACTGCGTAGGTTGTCTGCTGATGAAATAGTTGCCACTAGTGCCAAACAGTGGTTTCGTTTCAAACGTTCACGTGGCTCCATGATGCAGCCAAAATACACTCGCTTTTTATACCATGTAATTTCGTCAGAACCTGCCTTAATGCTGCAATTGACGTTGACTAAATTCAAACCAAGTCACGTGACCGAGAGTGTCCACTCCCCAATGGCAAAAGCAGTGGCACGAAAACAACACGTGTCTGAGGTTTTCCCGAAAGAAAGTTTAAGTAGCGAAGAACGCAAGTCACTTGTACTAAGCAAATTAACAATGCATGCTTATAGACACCAATAACAGAATATGAATCACGATAACTCTAAGCTGGCGCGACATTATTCGGAGGTTTGGCCTGTGGACAATGAAAATGTCTCGTCCGTGAGATGCGGCTGGTTTTCATCTGACAAGCTGATATTTTTGGCAGTACAAGTCTAGTCAATACAAGTCTAGTCTATCCAAATCCATCAAGATTACAAAAACTAAAAGACATCGTCTTCTATGTCTGATCGACGCAATGGTCTACCCTTGCCGCTGAGTTGGATAAACACAATCAGGAAGTCCGTAAATATAAAATCACTGAGATGAATCGTAACATCCTTCTGTAATCGAGAATGTTACGTAGTCTCAGGCCGTGGACCTACAACTGAGCTCAGGAAGCTCAGAGAGGTTGAAATTGAGTTATCCACTCGACGGTAGTCCTTTATGAAGTCTTCTCAAAACAGTGCCACGCAGTGAGAGCCTGGTTGAGCTGTTGATATGCATTTACAGTGGGTCATTCTTGTGTCTTGATGAAGATCCTTACAGCATCATTGGCACAGAATTCCAAAGGGTTTTGTAATTTCCTCATATTGTATGCTGTTAAGTTTAAAAAATTCACAAACGAGAGATCCAGCTGGGTTGGAGATGAGTCGCCAGAAAAACTAAATTGGTTATCGAACGAGTGCGTTTCGTTACTTAGATGCTACGTTTTGATATAAACTGAATTGCCGCGTACCAGCTGCGCCCATAAAAAAGACAATTTACTCAACGACCTAGAGACAACAAGTAAAGATCTTTCTCGACTTTCAGAGGAATGATACACCTTAGAAATTGGCGCGGGAAGTGACATTGTTATTAACTGCAAATAGTGAAAAGACCGATTATATTGAAAAATACAATGACTGGAGAGAACGAGGGAAGACGGACTTACAAAATGAATTCTTTTGTAGAGGTGCTTTTTGTAATCATAAAAGCGCGATGAAATAAACTGTTTCTGGAACACTTAGATTTAATCTACATTTTCCCTGATGGTCCTAGAAGGTAATATGTCCATGATTCTAGAGTTTATAATAATCTGTAATAAAGATCCCCGGAAGAGCACTAAAAAGAGCATGCTACTCTGCGAACAACTGCACTGGCACTTTTCACCATAAGCAAGAAGTCCTTTCAGTATGGCAAACGTTTTATTTTTCTATAAAACAAAACTGCCCAAAAATATCTACTTGCAAAAAACACCAACCAACATCTTGCTAGTCGCGAAGTGTTAATGGTGACATTTTACTCTCATTAAATTCAAAACTCCTGATTTTCTCTTATACTGTGGGTCCAACCCACAGCGTAGTCAAATCTGACTATCAGTGTCACTAAAACATGTTTAATGCTGTCTCTGCGTTTTGCTTCACCACTGACAGTCAAACTCTCGAAACATGTTACGCTTCTAAGAACTGAGATTCAAATATCATATATAGCCAGGCTTAGTCAGCTGTAATATTTTTGCTACAATTTATAAGTGGATGTTTTCATGGTCCACACAATTTAATAATTTTTTGAAGATACCGAATCATTTTGGTCTCATTTTTCGACGTCCAAGATTCCATACTCATGAAACCTTGACACTTGCGAATGCGTCGATTGATGCCAAACCCAAAACGTAATTCATTAAATCCTGCCACACAAATCCGGCTTCTCTTTTTTGATACATAGTAAGAAAGTCATAGCTGTCAGCTCATTGATTCCCAAAAGCAATCGAATTAGTCCAGAATTGGTGAACGTCCTGTGAATATAATTGGATTTTTCCAAGTAACCTTAAAAAGTACTGTTCACCTTTTGAACGGTAACATCACTTCTCAGTGGCATTTGTGAGTAACGCTTACCTGAACTGCTTTGATGCAGTAATTTAGATTTCCTGACGTAGATTTGGACATAACAACCAGTCAAACTGGAGATTTATCAAATAGACGCAGGAGGTTACCACGTGCATGCAAATGCAAAAACTAATATAAACCAACAAACCTGACGGATCGAACTAACTTTCGGAGGTGTCGATTCTGGAATGTCAATAAATACCTAGTGTTTCTTATGAACAGAAATATGTGTGATAACAGTCCGTCAGTAAACTTTCATCACTGGTTGCCCCGAATACGGAGTTATTCAAGCTGTCAGTGGCATGCAGGGATGGTAAGTGACCTTTCAAACAGTATTTATGCAAGTGAGCCAGAGCTTATGCGTCGATCTACATATGGCAATACTGCCAAGACATCGTGTACCTAAACAGACAAAAACTCACAATCGTTCTGTTTGAGGTCGTAGGATAGTTGGCATGCTTCTGTACTTTAAGTGGGCTCGAGGAGAGTTTTTGAAAAGAAGGTTTATCTAAACATGTGACTACAAAGTTTAAAAAGGTCTAATTCGTATCTTTTGAAATGTTCGTTTTTCCACTGACAAATTTCCGGTTCTCGGAAAATATTCTAGTTTGGACCTTAAATCGATGTTTTATGGCATCATACTAGAAAACATTTTCAGTACTGTGAGAGAGAGCTCATAAGGTAACTAGTTTGCCCTTGTCATTATGTATATACATGTATATAATTTTTAGAATGTTACGGAAACTAACGAATGAATTAACTTACAGGCTGTCTGCTGTATGTAATTGCTGCCTGCAAGTAAAAAAGAATGAAAGTTGTTCCGACATTAAAGGAACGCAGGATTATTGTGTATTCTAATTTTGGAAAAAGAAACACAGTGCCGGTTATTCTGCTTTCGAAATAAAAAAACGCACTTTTCCAGGGGTTGCAGATTGTGCTTCTTGGCCTGTTCACTTTGAACCTGTCTCCCTTGGACAAATATAGATACATTTTATGTATAAAGGTTAGAATATCTGTGGCGTTTTTAAGCTTCTTCTTCAGAAACATAGCAATCTGACATCATTGGAGTGATGTAAAGTTCCATCTTATCCGAATGCAAAAGATCCCTAGAAAATCACTCATTCTGGTAGGTTTTATAAAAAAATAAAACGCTGAGTTAGGGTAAGTTTTTGAAAGTTTATTATTTTTGAGCAAAATTTATTGACAACGTTGAGAAGGAAACTAAGAATGCTTTGTCTCTGTTCGCCCGTCATGTGCTGGTAGCAAACGTTTGATCTTCGGAAATATTAGGAAACAGGTGGGTTGTTCACTCTACAGGTTGATTGTATTCTGCTATGAGAAATGGCTTTTCTCGGAGCTTCTAAGACTTAGCCAAATTTACTTTGGATAGCTCCGTCACCAGAGACTGAGCTCATAATATTGGTAGTTTGGTGGCGTTCATTGGCTCTGGTTCGTACGGGTCGACTCATATGCCTAGTCGGCTGAGTTACCAGGGCGTCCAATTTCAAAAGAACAGAGACCAGATCAGCCATTAAGATGACGCTTTCATCGACATCAAAACTGAAAAGAGATAGATTTATATGGCGCATTGTTTGATAGTTCAACTTCAAGATTTCAAATGGTTATATTTCAGTATAGAATGCGGAACAGTTCGGGTAGTGCCCTTTTTGACAAACAGATCTTTTGCAAAATGTGGCAGCCACATACACTCCACCAGTATGTTGACTTATTGGCAGTTTTTTTCACTCTGTAATATTGTGAAAATTATGACAGTGGGTGACATGCGCAAACCTGTCCGGTTAATATAGAACTGTAAATTGTGGTGAATGTATATGCTTTTAAGGATCTGGATTTTTCACTCTCCCCAACGTCTCGTACCGGAGACGGGACAATGTTCAATAGTTGCAAGATAATCCGTAGGACAGAGCAACTCCGAATGTTACGACTTGACAAATCCAATTCATCTCTTTTAGTAGTATTTGGTGATTTTTTATAATTTCTACGCCCCCTAAAAATTGAACTGATGATGTTTGGCGGGAGATTAATTCATAATGCAATGCCACGGATAATGTTGAATGTATGACTGACTTATTTGTCCCAGGTTGTCTCCGCAGGAAAGGTGTTCTTAAGCCCTGAAGAAGCATGCTACTCTTATGGAAATAATGAGACGGGTTCCAAAAGTAACTATGCTTGGGTAGTTTGCATAATCTATGAGAACAAGCGCCAAGAAGAATCATCATGTACAGTCACTCTGTGAAGTCATCTTCATAGAAATAGTTTTTAGAGCTTACTCCTAATTAGCCGAAAAAACAGCTAATCTAACGAATTGTTTATGATCACTACGAACCGCATTTTTTTCATTTGAAAGTTTCTTCGCTGAGTATTTGCACGAGAATGTATAGGGTTAAGAATAAGTGTGATCTAAGCCGTAAACAAAGTGGACAGTGGTTGGACTGATCAACGACAATTTCTAGTGTAAATAGTTTTGTGAGTGTAGCAGTCACTGATATCACGACTGTCTTCTCGTTTACCAATTTTTTTTTGCTAAAGAACAGCCTGTGCTCCCCAGTTTAACTTTACAGTTTCCAAATCGTTCCATTAGTAACTCAATCAGGACTCAACAGAGTTGATGGAAAGCGGCTACCATAGTGAGGAGACGGCCAAAAAAGCACTCCAATTTATTTAGCGAGAAGTTCATCAACGCGAAACTTCAAGAGGAAACGAATCAGTTTAATCCCAATCAGATAATGCTACTGCGCCTAGGAGCAACCAATCAAAATTTACCGGCCATCTACCATAGAAAAACATCGATCAATCTGCCTACAAAAGGAATGTTAATGCTGGAGAAACAGAATTATTCTGAACAGACAAACTTTGTTCCATTTCATGTCTTCAGCAATGACTGCATGTCGACGTTCTTTGTGGATAATCGTGCTGCTCCTTCTGACAGTCGTCACGTCCAGATGCGAAGCGCGCACGCTTCGTCAGAAGCGTTCTCTGGCACTCAAACATGTCAAAACATGGCCAAACGGTGTCGTTCCATACATTATTAAGACTCATTCGGCCAATTCAAGTGAAAGCGAAGATGCATTTTCTGGTAAGTTAAATAAACTGATCATATACCTTCAGTAACCAGAGTGCTGTTTTTCTCATTAGAGTCTCGTTATTAACAATCTGAACGACTAGAGCACAAGTTTCACCTTGCAACAGGTTACTCTTGATCTGACTCAGGGATTTGGCTCAAGTGCATTTTTCACGAGATCCCAAAAAATCTCATCTCCATGCAGACAATCAGGAATAAAACCATACAGCACGTTTTCCGCTCTGGAAAATTTTGGATCCAAACAATCAGTCTCTGCACTGCTGAGCGCACCTGATATTTACCGCTTATCCATATGTTGTTCCATCATTCCGAAAACCACCCACACATGCCTAGTCCATTGCTTAATGGTGCGTGTTCTCCTAATGATGCTTTGTAAGGCGTGCAAATAACTAAATGCTATATACGACGAACCATTAACTCTCGTCATATTCTGTCATCGAACGGCTGCAAACCAATTTTTTTACAGAAAAAAACTGAGTTCAATACATATCAACTACCATCGAATTCATATGCAGAGAGAAGACTTCGATATCACGTTCGACAGTCTCACTGAACCCGGCGATAACTTTTAGAGTGAACACTTAGTTAAACACAATAAAAAACGGTAGATCCATTTGTACCCTTATAAGTTTTTTCGCATCAGTTCTTATGCATATATGGGATTTATTCAACTTCATTAACTGAACAAGAACTTTTACATCCAATCAACGGCGTATGCGGTACCTAAAATACTTTCAACTAAGAAAACTAAAGGTTAGCGGCTAAAAATATTTGCGTCATAAACTGAAGCGGGACCACAGTTTGGAACGAAATCAATACACAGATCCGACCAACTACGTGAGTGTTAAGCATCGGCGTTTGGATTTATGCCTTACAGGTGGCGAGCAGCAGATTCACTTTCCACTATCTCGATTTCAAAGGCATATTCTTTTCAAAATAAAGTTACCTGAGTCGAGGACTGGATTCACGTTGCCTATTATTAAGTAAAGACAGTATCACACTCACTTCCACTTTTGTACTTAATTGCAACGCCGAAAGATAGAAGAATATCGTGGTTGTTACTTACCAAACGGGTCGGGATTTTGATGCCCCTTCGAGACTTGGTGGATATTCAGATGTCGTCAGCCTTATTCGCTTGCCTAGTTAGTTGCGTTGCTCAGATTATTAGCGACGAATTAGTCAACTGTATTTCAAACAGAAAATTCCCCTTTACCTATCCGGCTTTTATGCACTTCATCTCAGATAACTGTAAACAGGCGGGGGGGACTCTAAATTACTTTCATACAGAACAAACTTGAGCCTTGGCAAAAGACACACTTAAATCGTGCATAGTCCCCTTTACCTATACGGCTTTTATGCCCTTCATCTCAGATAACTGTCAACGAGGCGGGCGGACTCTAAATTACTTTCATACAGAACAAACTTGAGCCTTGGCAAAAGACACACTTAAATCGTGCATAGTTGCTTTCTGTGGATGTTTTATGTTGATTATGGAGCAATTTTTATAGCACAAGTATAGCATTCTGCGAAGGCATGTGTTTGCTGAAGTTTCATTGCACTTCCGAAAACCGTTTGTCCGGGTACGGCTGTAAACGGTTAAGACATACAAACAAAACTTGGTTAACTTTCATGACGCATCAATTTTCTTTTCATAGGGATCAGTATGAATTGTTCTGTACGTTGAACTGACTGTGTCTTGAATAATACCAAGAGACAGTATAATTTGGCAAAACCGTCCTTTTCACTACGTCCGTTTTCCTGTCATAACGATCGCAAATTTTGTGTTGGAAGGTAAAGCGCGGCTGAGAAAGATGAATATACATCAATTCACTACGTTTTTGTGATCAGAAGGTTTGGGAGGGCAGCATAACCGTGACAGATTAACAGTTTATATCAATATATTTTTCTAGGTTTCATGTTGGTTGCCAGTTGAAAACCTTTTTTCTCTTTAGAAATAATTCCATTCGAAACTTGACACTTAAAATGTGACATCGTTTTTACCTGTCATCTGTTGCTAACTTCAAAATTGTTTGTCTACTTGAAACTGTAGTTTGATTGAGAGCCGACACCGGGACGCAAGGCAGCCGGAATGCACTACCGCTGGCACCTAGAAGTCCTGGAAATAGTGAGGCAGTTTTACTTCGACCTGTACTTCAGGCATGTTATGATTGTGATCTGGCTTGGGAAACAATGCAAGTAAAATATGGTTCTGAGTTTAAGAATGACATATCTGTATCGAGGACTGAGGTCAGCGTCCAAGTGAAAAGACTGCGTTACTTTCATTTAGCTTTTATTCCGATGAACTTTGGCTGATGTTGTTCAAGAAAAAACAGCCTATTGGGTTGTTTCAAAACCCTGTTTCACAACCACTGTTGCAAATTTATATCCGAATATTCATGAATAACCACACTGGTGTGTTCTTTAACATTTGTGGTTCGGATGAAATAAGTGCACACTTTGAGAAATTCCATGTCTAGTGAAGGTGGATGCAAAGTACTGCGCAATAACCTGACATTTGTTTTGATAAGGTGCCGGAAAGTTCAAACCGGCGATGGCCTTAGTTGCCTGCACCATGATGCGGTATAAAACTTGGCGTATCTGGTATGCACCGGCTTTTGTTATGACATGCATTCGTAAATGTTATACCCAAGCAAATCAGTGTTAGCAAAATGGCAAGACATCCAACCTAGTCCCTTTACTGCATGAGACAGTAAATATTTCTTCTTTACGAAAAAATAAGAAATGGGATACCATGCCTGGATTATTGATTGCAAGAATGCCATTGTGCGATAACACCACGCATCCAAAACTGAGTGCAATGCTCTGTGGAACAACGCTGCGGTTGAATCCCGTGAAACTGGAAACTGCGATTTTTAAAAAGCGCAAATCATTTTTTAATCTGAGATGACGCCACATTGTGAGTGGCGTGTTCTGCCAACAGCATTCTGAATTATCGCCTCTAAGAAACCCTGGAGCATTCCTGAACGGGCGAGACGGTTTTTGTTACGTTCATTCTTCTTGAATCAAGAACCAAATAAAATTGCTACTGTATATAAAAGTGGTGTGATTTCAAATTCATTCAGCTTTCACGGATTGTTTTAAATCCCGATATACGTTTGCCTGTCAAGTCCATTTAATTTATCTGTGTAAATGATTCAAGCTTTGGCACATATAAATTTCGGAGACATCAGAAACACGGCGAATCTATCTGTTTGTTGGGAAACAAAATTGAACACAAGTCTTGGAATAAAACACAACAGTGGAAAAATTGTTTTGCAGATGCTGCCTCCCCAGTAGAACACGAAGGCAGTCACCACTTTGTTACATAGTATAACAAGCTTATATTTGCAGGTACTCAAAACGTCATAGGTCACAGGCTTGTGTGGTGTGAGATACAATTTCGCGGTCCCATATTTGCGATTGACCGACAATCATGCGATACGGAGAGCAAAATAAATCTACTTTGAGGGTTGAATTTTCTGAATTCTCTGATGCATTACAAGCCTCAAAGCATCTACGTCTGTTGAATGTTGGAACCATAATTTCACGTAGTTCTAGTTCCTTTATTATCCATGGTTAATTAATCCTATTGGGGTGCTTCTTAGATAGTGTGGGATATATTCTGTCAGTTGAAAAACGGTTGGAGCCGACTGAGTAGTAATAATTTTTTGGGAGAGTTTGGTAACAATCGGTAGGTTTATTGCTAGGCAAAATTTTGCTTTGACACAAAGGCTTTTGACACAAAGGCTTCGTCACGCCAAGTGACTAGGTTACGAGTTTGGTCAAAAGCGGAAGGAGAACCAGTTAGCTAAGTCAAACTAAATCTCTTATAGGTATCCGCCAAGGGATTTTGTGTGCTAGGGTGTCACAGTGTGGTAAGTCGATTGGGTAACCTGCATGGATTTGGGTCCAGCCTAGGATCTAGTTCTTCCGGTTCGTTTCAAGTGATGATCCCTCTTGAACGTCGTTTGCACTCATCCGTCTGCTTTATTGAGCTGGTTCTATGATATTTGTATAATGAAGATGGATTCTGTGAACATTGGTGGGGCCAAGATTTCCACCCCTGTTTATGCTAATAATTCTATATGCATTGAAAACCCTACAGTCACGTCAGAACTCGGCTAATCTGAGATCGCTTTCCATACGCTTGTTAGTTCCACAGCCTCAGGTCCATTCACGCTGTGATGCTTGGTATTTTGCATCGCCTCGGCTATAAGCCGCGTACCGCTATCGCTGAGTCTTTGATCAACACTTGGTACTCTTTCACATTTCTTGGTGGTTGGTTCATCCTCCTTCCATTCCCACCACTTCTGATGTACAATTCCCCGAAAAGCTGTCCTATATATATCTTAATGGAGTCGTTGCAGTTGACTTTGCTCACGAAGCCCCTAGTCCTTTCAACATAAAGGAAATCTTTCAACTGCACCAAAACTGAACGTAGCGTTTTGTCCTTCTGAAAAATTACTTGATTGTTGGCAGCAGTCTTTAAATAACCTCTGATGTTCCTGCTTTATATGAAATGACTGCTGTGCCAATCCATTCCTTACTGGGTCTAGGTAACGAAGCCAATATCTTGATTGCCGCTCAATCAAACTCACTGGGTATCTCATTTCCTGAAATCTGTTGGCACTTTCGCTTTGAGCCGCTCTTCGGTCGATCCCTTCTTTGCACAACGTTCTGACTCGGCTAAACGTCGATTTTACAGTTCCAGCGTACACGGACTTTGGGTGTGCTGATAAGTAGTTTAAGATGGTTCCTGTGTCTGGTGGTTTCTGGTAGATAGTAGTTTTTAATTTTCCAGAACTGTTGTGTTATGCAGTGCAGAAGGTGGACTCTACCTCCATGCTAAACTTGATGTGATGATTTAAACTACTGAGATAGTCGTGGAAGTCGTCCGCATCAGCACGTTTGATTAAAACAAAGGTATCGCTAACATAACGCCAAAAGCTTTCGGTGGACAATGGTATCCGGCCAAGGCCATTTAATCGAAACCTTCCATATAAATATTGGCTCAAACTGGGGTTATTTGAGACCCCCTTGCAAGACTTTGTTCTTGTGAGCAAACACTTATGTCAAAAAACTGATCGAGATTCAAACACACTCTTATGCGGTCAGATATTTCATCCACAGAGAGCTGTGCCCATTCCTCAATTTCCGTGTCTGCCAGTTAACTCCAAAGCATCCGCACTAGGGACGTTTGTGTACATTGAGACTACGTCAAAACTCACGGGGACTTTGTCCATCACCAAAGGAACCCCTGCGACATTATTGGAAAAGTCGTACCAATTCCTAATGAAGATTCCTGATCCCCCCTGAGGGCTTTTGGTATACCAGCTAAGAATCTGGACGGTTCATGTGATGGCGAGCCCATATCATCCACCATTGATCTTACAGAAATATCTAACTTGTGGATTCTTGGCAGTCCGTGGATTTGTGGTTGAATCGTACACTTCGGGTACAACCTACGCCATTTACCCTGCCCTAAAGAGTTTCTTATGGATCTTACATATCTACCAACTTCAACCTTACTCTTAATCATTATTGAAGAACACTGATACCGGTGATTTGTCAATAGGGTCCATTGGCGAGTTGTTGCCTGACTTTCTAAAGATTGTTTCTCTTGGCCTGACGAGTGTCAAAAGCATATGTTGCCCAGCAAAAAATCTACTGATTGTTATCAAACTTTTTCGAAAATAGTGTGGGGTATATATTTTTATTTCCACTTTCTTTAGAAGAGAAGACCTTAGAACATGACATATTTAGCTGATCAATCTTGATATTTAAGTATAACTTTTTTGAACTGGAACAACCCTGTAAAGCACATTTGTTTCAAAGTTGTTGTCATAAGAGGCTAATGAATACATTAACTCCGTTTGGTGTGGTGCGTTTGTGGTCCTGGACACTCGCAGCAGGCACGATGCATACTTTTGAGCAACACGAACAAACCTGTTATTCCGTGTCTCTGTACGGATAGGCTTATTCGTACAAATTCACGTTTTTGACATATGGTTGAGATATTTTTAAACGCAGATCCCGTGTTCATCCATTCTCCTGGTGATTTGGATGTTGATGTTAAGAGAACCGTCAGTCGACATATTCAGACTACTGCGTAACACCAGTCTCTCTGTCTAGGTTGTGCAAATCCGTATCTTTTCGAAGCTTTTTTCAACTACATTACAACTCGAATGGTCATCTGTTCAGGTGAGAACAAACTGATTTCGTTTGAATTTTGGAAAAATCCTTTATCAGAGATACAGCGAAGGGTGCATGACTTTCAGTTGAAGAGTATGTAACGTATATCAGAAACAATCTCTTAATACAAGAGTTCAGCTATTGTAGACCCAGTTTGACCCTCGTGTCCAATAGAGATGGATTCTTTAAAAACACTACTTCTGATCGGATATTGCTTCTACGACGACTCCACATTTCTTTGGTCACTTTGGGCGAACTTTTTAGGAAAAAACCAGTGTTCCTTGAATTCTTTACAGTATTTAAAACTAAGGTATTACACAAGTAAGCTTTTATTATTAAATTTATCTCAGTCTGACTGCTTGTCCTTTAACCTCGTTTGTCTGACATAAGTACGATTTAACCACAGCAAAAAACTGGTAATCCTACAACAGATGACTGAATGAAGTTGTTTGCTTTTCTCCCTTGTTACAGAGATCGATAAGATATTGATTCAGAAAGCAATGGATACCATAGAACAGGAGACGTGTGTCAAATTTGAGCAGATTGAAGAGGGTTCAAACAGGAAAAGGTCACCATATGTTGAGATATCTTGGAGGAACGACAAGTGAGTCAAAGGAATTTTGTTTGCACCAGTAAACCCTGATTGAAGACCGAAGCTGTCACATTATCCCGGCTACCAATAGAACCAGGAAAGCCCTTCGATCCGAAGTTATTATAAGAAACACTAACTTAGCAATTACGAGCCATTCGACACAAAAGTAAACATCTCATATGCACATTTTTTTAAAAACTGAACATTATCACGCATTGCGTTGGATTTTCCTGGACACTCAATGACCGATGTGCAGTACCATACGAACGCTGCAAAGGGATACCAGAAGTTCCGTAATAAACTTCACCTTCAATCAGCTGCGGGGGCAGAGCCTAGGCACTAGGTCATAGGCTACTCGCATGCTTCATCAGTAGTGTACACAGCTACACCAGTATGCCACACGTGTTCATATTTAGAAACACTTCATTGTAGTTTCCTACATGCGGACGTTTGAAAATGGAACTGGAGGGTTTAAATCCGCTAGTGACTCACATGGTTCTCACGGAACGCATGTAAGAACCAGTTTAAGTAGAACGGGGTATGTAACTACATTACAACTCGAATGGTCATCTGTTCAGGTGAGAACAAACTGATTTCGTTTGAATTTTGGAAAAATCCTTTATCAGAGATACAGCGAAGGGTGCATGACTTTCAGTTGAAGAGTATGTAACGTATATCAGAAACAATCTCTTAATACAAGAGTTCAGCTATTGTAGACCCAGTTTGACCCTCGTGTCCAATAGAGATGGATTCTTTAAAAACACTACTTCTGATCGGATATTGCTTCTACGACGACTCCACATTTCTTTGGTCACTTTGGGCGAACTTTTTAGGAAAAAACCAGTGTTCCTTGAATTCTTTACAGTATTTAAAACTAAGGTATTACACAAGTAAGCTTTTATTATTAAATTTATCTCAGTCTGACTGCTTGTCCTTTAACCTCGTTTGTCTGACATAAGTACGATTTAACCACAGCAAAAAACTGGTAATCCTACAACAGATGACTGAATGAAGTTGTTTGCTTTTCTCCCTTGTTACAGAGATCGATAAGATATTGATTCAGAAAGCAATGGATACCATAGAACAGGAGACGTGTGTCAAATTTGAGCAGATTGAAGAGGGTTCAAACAGGAAAAGGTCACCATATGTTGAGATATCTTGGAGGAACGACAAGTGAGTCAAAGGAATTTTGTTTGCACCAGTAAACCCTGATTGAAGACCGAAGCTGTCACATTATCCCGGCTACCAATAGAACCAGGAAAGCCCTTCGATCCGAAGTTATTATAAGAAACACTAACTTAGCAATTACGAGCCATTCGACACAAAAGTAAACATCTCATATGCACATTTTTTTAAAAACTGAACATTATCACGCATTGCGTTGGATTTTCCTGGACACTCAATGACCGATGTGCAGTACCATACGAACGCTGCAAAGGGATACCAGAAGTTCCGTAATAAACTTCACCTTCAATCAGCTGCGGGGGCAAAGCCTAGGCACTAGGTCATAGGCTACTCGCATGCTTCATCAGTAGTGTACACAGCTACACCAGTATGCCACACGTGTTCATATTTAGAAACACTTCATTGTAGTTTCCTACATGCGGACGTTTGAAAATGGAACTGGAGGGTTTAAATCCGCTAGTGACTCACATGGTTCTCACGGAACGCATGTAAGAACCAGTTTAAGTAGAACGGGGTATGTAGGTTTGTAAAAATTTTCATCCTTTTTTTACGACCCAAGGAGTTTGGTGATAAGTCCTCCTGAAAATGTTGGGAAGGGAGGGCTGGCTGGGGGATATTTTGAGTCGATATCCACATCACCGTCTGTTGAGCAGTACATCACCATCCCTAATGCGAGCAATCTGTGAGAAAGTGAAAGTACTGAAGAACTAATAGTAGTATTCTATCGTATTTTTGGCCCCACCAGAATTAAACTTTGGTTTAACTGTAACGGAAAGCCGGCTTTCTAGTTCGGATCTCTGTTGAGACTAGTCAAATTGGCGTTGTTGAGAGAGACTCTTCACACGTTCCTAACAACAACTACCACGTGTTATGTACCTGTCGTCGGCTAAATACCGCATTTGGGCTAATAGTTTCACATGTATGTACATCTCAGGGCTCGGTGGAACATCACACTGGGGCTTGCGCTATCCGACCACTTCTGATATGTCCTTTCGTTAGGCTGTGGTATGGGTGCGTTTTTCATCTAGGTTGGGCGCTTGACCAAGAAATGTTTTGTTGACATCCAAGTTCATCTGCAGTATTCTCTGCCGTGTACTCCGAATGAGCCATCGTTTTTCTGATCCTCACAGTCGCTCTTCTTTGAATTATTTCCAGCCTACATATCGCCAAGTTATCTGCTCCCGAGTGATTAAGGTTCTCACTTGTCTCTGGTCTATTTTGAAATCCGTGGCTTTTATATCCGGAAATTTCTTAGAGAATTCGCTCGCTCCTTGGCCAGCAAAGTCATATTTGCTATAATATTTAATTTGCACTCGATAATGAGCTTTGTACACAGTTAACTATTTTGTCTTCTGAACGCCTCAAGAACATAACATTTGAGCAGTCTTATCAACTGTCGGAAACCCGATTGGTGACCTTGGCCTCCGCTTACTTGTCTAGTACTGTCCGCATTTTGTACTAATGAGGAGAAGCAGATGATGACGTCTGACTTAAGATCATTTCTCACAATGGAGTTATATAGTCAGTGTTATAGGTTACAAAATCTCGGTCCCAATAGATCAAAGATAGAGCGTAACAGACAAACCTACGGAACATATTCAATCCGTTATATGTTTGCACTAATTGGGACCAAGTGGAACGTCATATTTTCTGGTTCAGAGTTCAAACCACAGAATAATGATCTGATTCTGACAAGCTGCCATCTCCACGTTGATCACAATCACCTCCCGGATGTCAACCATCAAATCTTTGCGCCATCCGTGAGGGTCAAAATAACTTTATACGACCGTCTGACCAGTTACAATGGTGCCTGCAGTTAAACACACTACGATTACACAGAAATAACGAAGATCTGTTGTGCGTCTTCCTTAGCGGTGTTATCATCTAAGCTGCAGCCGTGCCTTAGGTTTTCACAACGAAATATATACCGCTACCTCGCTACCTTTAAAGTACCTAAAGACAAAACCTTGAACGTCGTTCGAATATCTCGCAAGTATAAGAGCTACAGCAGTTATGGATTAAAACGTGCTGGTACGTGCGTTCAAACATCCGTGTATGTTTATTGTTCAAAAACACTTACAGACATTCCGTTACGAAGGTTACACGCTGACTGTCGGCTAACTCTAAGCCGACGTTTTTGCGTAATCTTGAATCACAAACTGACTGCGTGAATTCCTTTGCTGACGCAATTCAGATCTCTTTATCCCACATATCAGCAAACTTTTTTTGTGCTGCCCAAAGCGAACCAAGTAATTTGTTGCTTTCGCGGTTTACGGTTGTACAAACCAGTGTTAGTTTGACGATCGGTACTCTCCTCTGGCATGCCTGAATTAACCATTTCTATCCACATTTGTGGAATGTATGTAGCTCGGGTGCACTGCTTGGCTGTTGGTCTGTTCACCGAGCTTGGCAGTTGGATTGCAAACGTTTCATCACCAATCGAGGTGACATTGAGGGTTGAGTGAGTCCCCACTCAACCCTGCACTGACGGTGTCACCTCGATCGGTGATGAAACGTTTGCAACCCAAGTTCGGCGAACACACCAACAACCAATTTCTTTCCACACCGAACGGACCGATTCACACCTATTGTTCGTCCTGCACCCAATCCGGTGACTAATACAATGCAATATCCACCAGTAAGCTAACTGCAGCTGACTCGGAACCTGCAGAACCTGAACTCATAGGGTCGATTTTCGTTGAGCATGCTTGGACATCTTGTTTGAGATTAGTTTTAGATGGATCAAGGTGGATAATGCGTAACGTACCAGGCGCTGATTCCAAGCTCTAAGCTACACTTTTGTGTAAAAAATGCACCTAGCCATAGTGAGGTCAACCGCTATACATGTAAAATTAAAAACAGAGTACTAATGTTTTGCCAAACCAAGAAAATTATATTCCATGGTTAGTATGCAACCTTTTGAAGTTAAATCACATGCGCGTTCGTTTCGGTACGATATCGAGAGTGCTCACGAATATATGTGGTGTTGCATTCCCATGTTCATTAAAGGGACTAACTAAAGCCGCTTAAGAATTTGATTGACCTTTGTCAGTTCTCATTCTCTGTAGGCGAGTTAAGGTATGCTTACCCTCTTTTGTAGGCACTGTTACGCCACCCTTGGCATGATGACCGAAGGAAAAAACGAAATTGTTTTGAATTCTTTGTGCCGTACGGTAAGTGTTGACCTTTGTAAAGGTTCTACCGATGCTGATAAATTTTCCGTGAATATCTTTGAGATATTTGAGTTCAGTTTGTATGAAGCAACTGGAAGACATTTACTGCTGGGTGTATCCCGGGATTTTGAAAACAAAAATGCCTTTTCATATTGAGTGACTTGTGGCGGTCAAACATAAGCAGATGATGGCTTACAAAACTGACAGAAAGGGTTATTAGTCACGACTGTCGCAGAATAGTTCTAATCCTCACAATATTATCATAACGGCTCACGATTGTCAGTGGGGACAAGGGAGAGTCAAGGAACAGTCAGAGACTTGCTGACACTTCTCGCATTTTGGGTTTAAACTATTGTGCGGCTTCCTCATGGGGTTTGTTTTTCATCCAAGGCTCAAGGAATTCCATTATGATTAACCGAGAAACCTAGGATAACATGACAAATTATCGTGACTGATTGTTGCAACTTCAAGCAGTGAAAGTTCTCAACAAAGCAATGAATTATGCTGTGTATTTCATGCGGTGTATACAGTCTTCAAAACGGGAGATAATGGTGCATTTCTCGGTTTGCTATTGTGGTCAGAGCCACCAGTATATGTATGGATATGTAATACATTTACGCGAAGGAACATTGCAAGGGTAAGAAAGCTCCAAAAGTCATGATCTGCCGAGGGTGGTGAAAGCGTTGAATTCGCATGTAGTGGCTGACGGATCACTTGGGTTGGGTAGTAACAATTATTGGAGTCCGTGCATTTTTGGCAGAAATGCATCCGATACAGCAATCAAGGTTTTAAACGTAAGTTTCAGTTGAATTTTAGCTTGATCAACATCAGCACAAGGTGCAAACGGGTGCAAATTGCCATATACATGCAATTTGGTGTTCACATATGCCATATATTTGATGAAAATTTGGGACATGGAGTACCTTAAGAGCTAAATGACGGGCGAATTCTTCGGAGTTTTCATCGTTTCATCACCTTATGCAAAGATATATACTTTTCACGAATTTGTGAAAGCCTGAAATAAGGATAGCTGGGTCTTTTACAGTTGGACATTTATTGAACAAAATTGTGGAACTATACGAGACAGTGGTGTCAGCAATTTTGCATCCGAGTACTTCAACAATCCAACGGGCTATAGTGGGCGAGTAACGTTGCTCAAAACCGACAGATCCTGGAGGGGTTCCAGTATCTTTGTGAGAGCAGTATCGGTACACTAACATCTAATTAAGTAACAGTTTGCTCAGCAATGCGTTTGAAATAATCTGCACACTATACAGAAAAAAAGCGCTTAGGGACTTAATTTTGTGTTTGTTTGACTTATCGTATATATTCTACACAACACCCCCCAAGCTGCTCTCCATCCACTATTTTCTAATAAATTAAATTGTATTGTTTTGATATCATGTGAGAATTTTTAAAAAATAGTATCTGATCTGTTTAACTTGTGCTTTTCAACAAAACAGGTGGGTCAAATTCTTCACGAACTGGCGCATACTTTGGGACTTCTTCACGAAATCATGCGGCCTGACCGGAATGAGTACATCGTTCTGCACGAAGAGAACATTGCAAAGCACTACAAGCAAGAATTTGACATACAACCAGCTTTGTATACACATTTATGGGACAGGACTTTTGACTTTCAGTCGATTACCCTTTACGATCCCTTTGTAAGTCAGTCGCAGTTTGCCTTTCTGGTGAAAAATCCTAGCTCATCTATAGCACATTTGCACATTTCCAGGTCGTGTTAGCGTTTTACAGTCAAAATCTAACCACGTTAACAAATCACAGATTGCGTTGTATAGGGTTCAGTGAATTGAAACGCATAAACTCGGCTATTTTGTGAATTTGAGGTAGCCCACTGGGGAGGGGGGGGGCGGCTAGCGCACCCGAAACTCTAACCTTTTGTTTGGTTTCGTATTGGTTCAAGAGTCTACTTCAACTCCTATTATTTCAGTCGCCTAACCGCCTGTAATCCAAGAGGACGAGTAGATTAGCTAAATACAGTATAAGTGAGGTTTTGGAAATCTGTCGTTTTTCACTCAGAGCTCCAAAAACACACACTCCTTCTCTAAATTAAAACTACATAGCAACTGAGTTCATACAGTTAATGCAAGATGTCAGTCAAAGGTGTGAATAATGTGCGGTTTCGCTCACTTTTTAGTGAGCCGGCTGGTCTGTGACTGGATAAAACTCAAACCTTAATCTAATGTTCACAATAAGGTGAATTGGGGAATATCTATTCCCAAAACCTTTACCAAACCATAGACAATGGAACAATGAACAAGACAGTGTCATTTGAAAATGGTGCGGACCTAGATGACGCACCTTCTCCTGCAAGCTCGTCAGAATTCAGCAAATGCGTTGTTGCTGTTTTTATTGACCACACAGGTGAAATCAGACAACTTCAACTCCAAAAGTGACACCAATGTACTATGGAGACACAAAGTAGATGAACGTTATCCCAAAGACTTACGTTTAAATCTTGAATAGACGAAACTAGTTGGTGAGATATCAAAATGTGAGTCCTAAAAAATGGATTCTCAGGAATTGTGTTGCTGGAATATCCCAGAATACGGCATCTTTCTTACTGCCATGGAATTGATTTCAGAGCTACAGAATACATTCTAGCATGAAGAGCTACTGGTGCTGAAGTTCTATTCGACTGCAAGGTGGTTTCCGTCGCACAGTGGGATTACCACCAGCAAGTCGCATACCACTGTTAAAGAAGCATACTTATGAAGTTCTCACATGAATCTACCAAACGGTTCATTAAGCCTTATTCCATGACAAATTCTAAACGGTTCCTCGGATAATTGTTATGAACAGCCTTCCCTTTTAGACAAAACGCACTTATTTCTCAAACGTGCCACTAATTTATAAAGTAGTTATTGCATTTGCGGTCTGCAAGCAAAAGCACAAATCAACAAACTAGGCAATTTCTTAGGAAGTCGAAAAACGGGATGGATTATGCCAAGTCGCTTGTATGACTTGATAATCTTCATGTCACAAGAAACGCATTCGAAAGTACGCATGAAGACGGCATGAATGTCGTTCGGCAATATCTTCGATATTGAATGAATCTTATTTAATTAAGCAAGTGTTGCCTCTGAACTACAGACGGCCAATTACTGATTTACCTAACCTGGAAGGAAGTGTTGGTAGCCTAGCATAATCTTATTTTATGCGGTATTCTAACACAGTCAACCTATTGATCGCGTTTAGTTTGACGGCAAAGTTTACGTAAACTTGTGCCCTGCAAACTTTGTTCCTGGCCTCAACGTTGTCTATGTCGTACTGTGGAGTTTGAAGGTTTGTGAGTTTTTCCATATAGAGGTTTCTGTACCACAGAGTGGCACTGAAGTACTGAATGGGACAAGAATGCAAACATGCCTTAAATAAAGCAGTTACGTGTGTAAATCAGAACCAGTTAATATTTTTCATCCATCACGTTATGTCATGATATGTTCAAATTCTGCCTTTGACATCAGTTCTTCTGGGACGATGTTTGTCGCTGTTAGACTGGTCAGTAAATCTTTGATCTAAAGTAGCCACTCAAATATCCTTAACCTTATTATACCACTGGCAATACTGATAAAATTGTAGGTGTTTAGAACCTATACTATGCAGCTATGATCGTCTTGTGCGCATCACCTAGTTTGTATAGCAAATCAGTCAGTTTTTCAACACTGCGGCGACTGCTTACCAAGCTCTTGTGCAATTTCATTGCTGACAGGAGCATGTATACTAATATCGGCGCCAGCACTAAGCACTAGGACACGCGACAGCCCACCTGCTATTTTGCTAGTGTCCTACCAGGCTAATGATTACATTTTTTGACGAATAATTTACTCGGAATTATTTTTAGACATCCTAGTAAGTTTTAAATGGTAGCGGGATTTGTAGAACTCGCATTTATATTCTACTTGTCTGAACTTCACTCGTTCTTTCCTGGGGCATTTATTCTCCTAGGTTAGCACCAAACAGTGGAAACACTGGTTTCGAAGTTTGATCTTATTAGAGTTAGTCATCACTACATATTATTGGCCACGCTGGAATTTGAGCACCGGGCGCTTGGCATGTGAGGTAATCATGTAACCACTACTCCACTAGCCTGAGCTGAATGCGACTAGATTAGCACACCTGAATAGGTGACCGCGATTACGGGTAGCGGGGGGTCAAATCCAGGCCAGAAATATGCACTGATCAGCCATAAGAGGACTGAAACATCGGCCCAGTTGTTTTCTCCTTGGTGTGGAGTCGCCAGAATAGTTGTTTAACTAGGCGCTAAGTACTATGGGAACAAGAACGATGTTAACACGGAAACGCCACATATCAGTATTTGTGGTTGAGTACATTTCAACTATTCATGCTTATCTCAGAAAGGAATGAAGTGAACCTGGAAAGTGTATGACCCAAGGAATTGTCCGTGATGCGTCACTTTTTATAATTAATATATACTTTTTGACAGCGAGAGTGAGATCTTAGCCAGTCTTCTGACCATGTCTTTCGTAAAATTCATTTTACTTACCGTCATTATGTACCAAAGTGTGCTTGGTCTAGAAATAAGGTTGTCCATTGACAGGCTTTGACGTTTGCTTTTCTACAGTACCTTTGTGCATGGGCTTCAGCTTCTTGTCACACCAACATGCGTCGTTACCTTTTCTGCCCCTCTAGCATGTACAAAACTCTCCCTTTCAGTCTTTCGCCATGAGTTCGAAACCGGTGTGGGAACCCCGAAAGCATCTTAAAAACACTCCGTTGTTTCCTTTACGAGAAAAAGACTTGTCATTTGAGGACACAGCTGCAATTAATAGGCTATACAACTGTGCAGGTAAGTTCGGACTGCTATTGTTGCACACAAATTTGATAGTAAAGGGATAAGAAAATTTGTTTCGCACAGATACACAACAAGTGAGACCAATCTGGGTAAAGATATGCTAAAACCTAGTTTATGGAAAACTAAACGCATCTTCGAGTTTTACAGTGTGGTTATTCACATAATGTAGGGAATTTTGCGGCGTCAAATTTTTCCACAAAAAGGTGTTCTCAGACTCCTGTTAAGAAGACAATGACCATAATTTTCAAAATGATAAGACTTTTTATCAATAATGAAAAATAGGCCTTTTCTGAGGTGGTTTGTTGGCTCCCGGAACATATGTACTGTGATGTATAGTTAGAAGCCTGTCGAGTGCAGACTTTATCGTGCTCTACTTGTACGTTTACTCCTCAGTCGGTCCTATAGCCACCGGCTAGTCGATTGCAAACCCTGGAATCCGGTTAGCTGAGAACAATTCAAGCGGAAATGAACTACTCGAACATGCCCACAATCCCATTCAGTGAATGAGATTTGCGGCCATCATTTTGAGAACTCGTTGAATCCTAATAGAATGCGACTGAAAAATGTCGAGTAGGTGAAAGAGAAAGTTCCTTGAAGAATACTTCGTTTTGAAGATCTATTTATCGGGCAAGTTCCGCATCGCAAAGCAGTCCGATGTTGAGCTACTGTATACCAGACTTATCCATGACCATTCCTTGGTTTCGTTGAGCTTCTACTGCAAACACGGTTTTAGTCAAGATTCAGTTATCGGCGATTGACCGTTTTTTTCACATTCAGCCAGTACATTGAGCTGCTTAACCAAAAAGAAAATTCTAAACTGCTGTCTGTATTTGACCTCAGTTGGAGATGGAACAGTCAAAGATTTATTTGGAAATAATTTGTCAGCATGCACTGATTCACTGTTTCTCCATAAACGGATCTCACGATACCAAATAGATGTCGCTTTAACGAGGACATCCTGAAACATAAAAACGACCAAGTACACACAGGAAACTCTCCGTAAAACACGCTTTTATCTTCTAGACAAATATAGTCAGTTGCATACCAAATCGGTTTTCACGGGGAACTCACCCCATATCATTTGATACTCTCCATCCAACTTCTGGCAATTTGGGTTCATTTAGAACATACGTTTGACGGAAACCCGAAGACCGCCTCAAGAAGGGCAAAACCTGTCGAGGAGTTTTCAGCAAAATTAAGATTTGCGTGTTACGGCTTTTACCAGGTAGCCACATCTGACTTGTCGTTCCCGGATATTATTCTGTCTTCCGATGTGTGTCTTTAATGGATTTCTTTTCCTTTAGTGAATTGTACACAAAGGAAACGAAAGTGCAACGGGAATGCTTTTTTGACCGCAAGATGTCGGTGTGAAACTGCAGAATGTGAGTACATGCAGTCTGAATAACCTCAAAGTTTTCAAGGTCATTGACACAGGTAGTTTATTAGAATTGGAGATAGCACAGTGTTTCCCAAGTGAATAGTAAACAGTAAATAGTGTCCGTCCTGTAAAGTTCTATAAGGAGAAAATACTGTATGATGAGTCTCCAAGAAAACTAAGGGCGCATTTAGTTATTTTATTTATTTAGTTTTTAAAAATATATAGTTCATTTGTGTTTGGAAGGATTTTCTTATACTCAATTCCGTCCTTGGTGTATTTTTGTCGCGACCTACGCTGAACTGTGCATATTTCGGAGATCAAAACGCCAGTTTGGCCTGATCTTGTAGGGCCTAATCCGTGTTCCCCAACCCTCAAGAGGGTTAACATGAACACGTCTTTGCTTCACTAGCAAAGTAAGCATGTTTGCCCTCACCGGTAAGGTCAGGCACACAACCCACCGCAGTGTAGGTTTACACGACATATACCCGCTCTACTCACTAACGCCATCTGCATTGGTAATGTATAGACTTCATTGTCCTCCCAAGAGTTCCGACTTTGCCGAAGTTAGGGGCATTTCCAATAAAGTTGTTAAAAACATACAACCACATACAACCCATAATTACGTATACCAACACCGTTAGCTCTCCCTACTTCGATGACCAAGAGGCCTCCAATACATCGTATTCTTTTGTCAAAAGAGCGGTATTTTTTATCAAAAAGTTTGCGCGATACAGGTGAAGGATAAGATTACAAGAGTTTTCCACAGGATAACATTACTTTCGCCTCATTTGAATCCTCTGCGTGATAAGCTGAGGCATACCGTCCTATAGCCTCGTTATTTTTTACGACTCTGCCACCCACTGATTAGCACAAAATTCATGGTTTCATTATTCTTCAGAGTTTTCTGTAACCAGCCTTCTTTGTTACGTATAGTCAAGGTATTTACTACAGCCCTGTAGTTTGGACAGTCCCCTGTGTTTGATGACCCAATCAATTTGGTTTTTTACGTGAGAAGAAAAGTATTCCACCCGAGTTTGTCAATAATAAAGCATGGTCGTAGCACTACTTGACTGCAACTTCTTGACATACGAGTTAATCACTCAGCAAAACCAAGACAGGCACTATTTTGTTTGCGCTATTGAAGCAGCCTTACATAGTGCTCACAGAGAGACGTCAACCGTTTTGGTGACAATACATCACGTCTTTCTGATGAAGGCAGGCGGGATGGAGTTAACACGGGTGCCTCACATGTTACGGCAGGTGTATATGGGTATAAACCGTAATAACGATATCTGACACGGTCGAATCTTGGCTCTCTTGCCCTCATTCTAATGTAAGCTGAGCGAACTATACACCGAGCATTAGTTTAGTTGGAAAACCAATCAATGAACAGAATAATGAGCTTATCAGACCACACGGCCGGGATTTTAGATGATGCGTCGTCGTATATCTGGACAAAAACTCTTACTAGCGTATCAGTTTGGTCTTTATGGGAAGCTCACGTGTCGAAATCTGTTCAATTTGGGCTCAGGTAGAACATAAGCTTGACGGTAACTGGGAGACTAGGCACACCTGAGGATCTTTAAGGTGGTCGAAGCCAGTCGTCGGTTGTCGGAGAGTTTTCATCAACCTCATTAATAATGTATTACGTCAGTACTGTGTCGTTATATATTATTTATGTAGTGTGGAACGCCGTTGGTTTTTGGGCAGCATTCACGCGAGTACTATTCTCTTGCTGTCTAGCTTACGCCTACAGACGATGTCGGGATGACCAAGCTCATCGAGACTTTTGCAGCGATGCAATTGAAAAAAACAAGTGTTATGACAATGCCATCGTGGCAATTCCATTTTGCCGGAAAACCTGTGGACGATGCTTTAGAGCTGGGATTTTTGGAAAGTCTTCCCCTCCGATGAAAAGTAAGTGACAGGATACCTAAACTATGGTTCTCTCATGCTCTTCTCTGTACTAGTTCGTTTTGTTAATCAAAAAGAACTGAGTCGTGATTGTGGAGTTCATTCTTTTGTCACAAATTTTCAGTTTAATGTGAAAGCCGATAACCAATGAATTTAGGCTATTTTATAATCACCACTTCTGTGTCACAATTCCAAATGTCTAGTGTAGTAGCCAGATTTTGTGTGTTATTAGTGGGTGTGCGTCCCGAGCCGGGAAGACTCACCCTATATTACTCTCTCCACAGGATGTCTACCAGAAGTTATATTTCTGGGTAATCTTTTTAACTCTTCGAACCCCTACTAAGTAGTTCAGATCACAACCCGCTCTAGGTGTTTGTACTACTTTCCCTTTCAGGATGTGTCGACCTTGAACCGAAGCAGTGTCCCAGGCTCATTAAAGAAGGCTATTGCTACTTCGATGCGTGGACCAAAATTCATTGCCAGCAATCTTGTGGTCTTTGTCCTCCTCCGGATGTTGCCAAAAGACAGACGTACTCTTTGGACGCAAGGGAGTACCTGCTAGCCTACCAGACAGGAGATTGTTACAACAGGTTCGATGATCTGAAGTGTATGATCTTCGCTGAAAGTGGACACTGCAAAGGGAACCCGAGTTTCATGACAAGCTACTGTGCACTTTCCTGCGGAAACTGTCATAAACAAAACAATTCAGACCTATCTTATTTGCGCATTGCACAAATTGGCTGTCGGAACCTCATCGATGATGAACGGTGCAATGCTTTAGCAAGCGAGGCAAGTCCTTCGGTTTTACCATGCTAATGGAAAACCGCCTTCTCTCTTTTCCTACGATTCAGTGTCTTAAAGTAAAAAATCCGTTGAGTGAAATTGACTCCAAGTAATAAGCTCTCACATTGGTTCGGGCACATCCCCACACAGCAGTGTTTTAAAAGGGTATAATAAAACTTGGATCATGGAAATAACTCAAGATTGGACGGCATTAGTTTCCGGTAACACGGACTCCAGTAGGTTCAACTCGAGTAGTGTTAGTGCACTACACTTCACGTCTCTGCTGTTGATAGCAGTGAATGTCCAGGCACCAACATTCTTAAATTATTGTCTTGATGCCAATAGTATGCACTCCTATTTTTTAGCGACTTGTCATCAAATCGGCTTGAACGAACATTGCGATTGTAGCGTAAAACGGTAGACGATTCTACGGTAATCAGTGGTCAGATCAGCTGTGTTCCGCTTATGTCTGAACAGTCAGTTCGGTGCTTCTGGCACGGACATTTAACTGGGTTAATGTGTGGGAAGTGAATTCTGCCACATAACTCCTAATATTCAAGTTAGGGTGGGTGAGTGATTTCACCTGAATGCAATGCAATGCAATGTGTGGTAACAACCCACACGCACATGTGTATTTCTGCCCATTTTGTGCACCTGTTCTTCACACTTTGGCAGTGAAATAACGAATATACATCAAGTTTTCGGGGAGAAGGACGTATGCATTTCGTACTAAATTCACCTTGCTATGATAAAAGTCATCCGTGGGAATGAACAGACCAAACTGGTCACCAGTGGATGAGTTCGGTAGAAAATAACCGTACGAGATTGCCTACCCGAAAACGGTCAGCGCTTTATTGGCACAAATATGGACCGTACATCAACATTTGTAATTAGCGTGTTGACTACTTTGATGGCCGTGTATCCACAAAATGAACATTATTTTTGAGAACTTTAAAAACAAAACCGTTTGGATTTCTGATGTTAAACAATGGGATAAGGGTATAAAGTAAGGAACGACGGAGCGTAACCTGCGCTAAAATGACGAGATGTTGCTTGATTATTGCAAAATGGAATGTCAACATTCTAAGTTGGAAAAGCTGTGGGGATTTACATTGATCGATCACAAAAATGCAGCAGAAATCACCATGAGCTAAGGCAACCGAAATTTACGCAATTTTGAACTTGAATTTCTTACCTATTCCTTAGTTGTTAAATTTTCACATCTTGAGTGAAACTTTAATCATTACAGTCGTTCTATAGAAAATTTATGTCTTGCTTAAAGTAGCCAAACAAAAGTTAAGATGTCACAACATATGTAACAGTTGCCTTTGGAAGTGGCTCACACGTATGATCTCATACAATTTTTGGGTTTACTTTTACATAATTGTTAAAAATCGCTTAATTCAGTTAAACCCAATTGAGAAAAGTTGTGAAGAGTCGGACAGCACAAAATTTGTAGCATGGGACCGAAAATTTAGCCGACAGCTAGATTGCCGCAGCATTACCAGACCCAAAAGATGGACTTATCTTCAACTATGACCTTGATGTCGGTCTATACCGCTGACTGAACGTTGTTAACACGTACGGCGAGCAGAGGGGAAGGAAATGATTAACAGTGGTACGGTTATCATCACCGAACAGGTGACCTAATGTGATGCCATAACTTGTCGGTACATGAGGTGTTGCTGCAGTGAGTGTGATGTCATGGATTAGTTGCTAGAATGTTCCGGGTTAACAACGTGAAAGTTGCTATTGTTGCTGGGGTCTTGACGTATATTTTGATTGGCGTGTTTCCAGTATAAAATTTGTGCCTAACGTCGGCCTAACGGAACTTAATGGCTGTTGTTTTAGTACAAAAACTCCATGTGTGCAGTCGATCGGTAAGAAAGTCAATTCCTATGTAGATCATCTGTAAGGCAGTGACGTGGAGGTGGATAAGAACATGAGTTTCGCCATTCAATGAGCCAGCACAGAAGAAAGATGATTGCAAGTGGGAGAAGTTTTGATGTTTCCAAATCAATCACAGTGAGGTATGCTTGTTATTTTTGTCATCACATAAAGAATAATTACGATTTTGGAGGTCCTTCTGAAGTCCCACAAATTTTAGGCTGAGGATTGCACGAAGAAGGCAATGTCTCACTTATCCATCTTTACATTCTGATTTTTTTCCACAAAAAGAATCTAAGACGATGTTGACATTCTGGAAGTGGTTAAACTAAAGAACGACCTTCCTTGTGCACTATTCTAGTAGCCATCATTATAGTGACCCCGCCACTAATACAAATGTCATCTCTGCATGGCTGTCGTAGTGTTTCCCACTTTTCTCCGCATTATACGATCAGGTCTCCAGCAAGAACGAATGTGCTTGACTTTTTCGAGGTCAAAATCGGAGAAAATACCATTCTTTACTTGTGAATAACTTATTCTTTCTTCAGGAAAAAAGCTTTCTGACTTCCTCAAGCCCACTCTCTCAACAAACGTGTCAAGTTCAGTGCAGCCTTTTCTTGTTTTCTGACGGGCATCAAGAACTGTCGTGGTTGCCAACAGAATAGATGTCACATTCACAAGTGGGGAGAACAGAAAATTTTCTAGCGCCACGTCACTTAGCTGGGATTGATTTGTCTGCTTTGAAGGCAAGGATAAGAAAGACCGACTATGCGTATGATCTAAATCTCTAAGCACCCTCAAACTAGATTTTTATTAGTCCCACAAATACTCTTTTACATCCCGAGTTAACATAAAATGAAGTTGTCCCTTGTCAGTCTTAAATGTCCATCCTCAAATTGCCGGAAATTTACGGGCAGCTGCATTTAATCCATGACCTGATACTTCTCTTGACTATCACTTGTCATCGAACTTCCTTCTCATACATCCACGGTGGATGAAAAAGAGTGCCAGGTAAACTGGAAGTATTTGATGGCTTAAAACTGAAAGACCTTTTATTACGACAAGGCATATCTATCAACTAACAGTGGTGATTGAGGACTTTTGAGATAGTGTAGGTTTCTGATTGGTTTGGCCTGACTAGCTGGACTTGTGTGCTAACTGTTGTTATACAAAGGTAGAATTGATGCATCTTTGTGGAGGTTCCGTCATGGGGGTGAGGCCAATCTATGCTGAGAAGCCGAAAAGCACTGTACCGCTGTTTCATCTTTATTGGGAATCATCAGCAGTGCGCATCTCACGAAACTCCGGAGGGTCTCGAAACCGCGAACACCGCGCTGGTAGTTTGAACACTTAACCGTACGGCCACGGGCGGCTGATCAGCAGTGTAAATAACTCGCACTTAGACAGGATATAGCGCCGCTCATCCTTCGATCACAGGATCCACATCACGCGGTCACACGTGTTGACTGTCACTTTGAGCAAATACTTCTCAGATGGAAGTATCAGTCCTCGGGAACGGCGCTATATCCTGTCTAAGCGCGAGTCAATCACACTAGTGATCAGCCGCCTGTGGCCTAACGGTTACGTTCAAACTACCAGCCAGGAAGTCGCGGGTTCGAGTCTCTCCGGAGTTTCGTGAGAAGCGCACCGCTGATGATTCCAAATAATTTTGGGGTTTTGCGAGATAGGTATGTTTGTTCATAGCCATTCCAAATAAGAATGAAACAGCTGTTCAGTGCTTCTCGGCTTTTCAGCAAAGATTGGCTTCAATTACAAGACGAATTCTCCACAAAAATCTCAAATCTTCTCACACTACCAATGATGCATCTTTGTTTACGCTGTGAAAATGCTCTGAGAAAATTGAGCGGACCTCACTTTTTACTCAGCGTTGTATGTAACTAATGTACCTGCCTTTTTTCAGCATAAATGCCGGGGTGTAACACTTAAACAATGTATGCTATCATGTGGTGTGTGCCGTGATGAGAGCCCAAAGCCAACCACCTTGCCAAAACCAACAACCACACCAGCCGCCAAGGTAAGACGTCAGTGCAAGGACAAATCTACCATGTGTCCGTGGTTGGCTGAGCACGGTCACTGTCTCACGAAACCAGAGCAAATGGAACAACTGTGTCCACTGTCCTGCAAGTTCTGCCTGGAGGATTGCGTAGATCTCGATCCACCCCATATTTGTGCGGATGTCAAAAAGAGAGGTTACTGCATCTATGATGCAGGTCATGCCTCGCGCTGTGCGAAATCTTGCGGTCTATGCAAGACGCAGCAACCGAACACATCTTCATCCAAACGGGGTGAAGACATTGGGGATAAGGAAGGAACGCAATCAGAAGTCATCGAGAAAGTAGACGAGCCCTGCACAGAGACTGACGCATCCAAATACTCACCGACAAAGGAGGAGGAATCAACACTAAAAAAGAAAATGCACAGTAAGTCAAGTAAAACCGTTCATGGATAGAAGGTCAGGTGTGGTTTATACAAATAATGCAGCACAATAACAAAACGGGTGAATTATCTCCAACCTTTCAACTCCTCGTATCTGGCCATTTGTGCGGTTTTATTCCTGTGTTTCGTGTGACCAGAGGGAAACAAGGTGGGTTCACTTCGTTACGGTTAAAGGATTAAAATAAAAGATAGCCGTAACCACATTTTCCAGATTTTATCTAAGGTCGGTGAGTTGAGCAAACACGCAACAGTCAGTAAAGGTTTTCTGATGCTGGGTTGCCAACCACAAAACATTGGAAGAGGTTCGGCAAATCCTATAATCAATTGGTAGATAAAGTGGTCATCGGGTTATGAATGCGTTTGATCACAAATGCGTTAAGTGACATGCGAAAATTTCCACAGTAAAATGGAGCGCCTTGAGGAGAGCTTTTATCACAACACCGATCATGATATGTCATAATTCTGAGTGCTACTGCATTTGCCAAACACAAACATACGGGGGGAACCTTATTAATGGATAATCTCTTGGTAAAAGAGTCATTCGGCTGACAGAAAAGTTTCACTTTCAGAAGGGTACTCCACTGTCAGAAGGTTCTTCTCTAGAGTTTACTGTGAACTAGTTCGTTAAATTCTTGGGTTCATTGAACATCGTGCCAAGGAGAAAGCACCCTTGCCAAAACCAACAACCACACCAGCCGCCAAGGTAAGACGTCAGTGCAAGGACAAATCTACCATGTGTCCGTGGTTGGCTGAGCACGGTCACTGTCTCACGAAACCAGAGCAAATGGAACAACTGTGTCCACTGTCCTGCAAGTTCTGCTTGGAGGATTGCGTAGATCTCGATCCACCCCATATTTGTGCGGATGTCAAAAAGAGAGGTTACTGCATCTATGATGCAGGTCATGCCTCGCGCTGTGCGAAATCTTGCGGTCTATGCAAGACGCAGCAACCGAACACATCTTCATCCAAACGGGGTGAAGACATTGGGGATAAGGAAGGAACGCAATCAGAAGTCATCGAGAAAGTAGACGAGCCCTGCACAGAGACTGACGCATCCAAATACTCACCGACAAAGGAGGAGGAATCAACACTAAAAAAGAAAATGCACAGTAAGTCAAGTAAAACCGTTCATGGATAGAAGGTCAGGTGTGGTTTATACAAATAATGCAGCACAATAACAAAACGGGTGAATTATCTCCAACCTTTCAACTCCTCGTATCTGGCCATTTGTGCGGTTTTATTCCTGTGTTTCGTGTGACCAGAGGGAAACAAGGTGGGTTCACTTCGTTACGGTTAAAGGATTAAAATAAAAGATAGCCGTAACCACATTTTCCAGATTTTATCTAAGGTCGGTGAGTTGAGCAAACACGCAACAGTCAGTAAAGGTTTTCTGATGCTGGGTTGCCAACCACAAAACATTGGAAGAGGTTCGGCAAATCCTATAATCAATTGGTAGATAAAGTGGTCATCGGGTTATGAATGCGTTTGATCACAAATGCGTTAAGTGACATGCGAAAATTTCCACAGTAAAATGGAGCGCCTTGAGGAGAGCTTTTATCACAACACCGATCATGATATGTCATAATTCTGAGTGCTACTGCATTTGTCAAACACAAACATACGGGGGGAACCTTATTAATGGATAATCTCTTGGTAAAAGAGTCATTCGGCTGACAGAAAAGTTTCACTTTCAGAAGGGTACTCCACTGTCAGAAGGTTCTTCTCTAGAGTTTACTGTGAACTAGTTCGTTAAATTCTTGGGTTCATTGAACATCGTGCCAAGGAGAAAGCACCGTCTCAACTGTTGTTGAGTGAAGCATCTATTCAACGACGCAATGACTTCAAATGCATGGGCGAAAAGAAAACAGTACGAACTAATGAAGTTTGTTCCGCTCTTGTATCCTAGAGCCAGGTAGCTTAACAGGAGCACACTACTAAAATGTCCGGCTGGCTGCTCAACTGATGGTTTTCGCTTGAACGTAGGTTGCCATTTCAGAATAGGTTTGAATCTTTTCGTGTTTTTTTCCTCTTCCTCTTTTGGCTAACCATCTTTGTATAGCCCGGCCAGTGGGTACTTCCAAGGTTGGTACATAACGCATGTCATAATCTGCACATTGCGTGCTTCAGTCGATCCTTCCCAGCGATTTTACATTCGCATACGCATTTTGGAAGCAAATACAATCAATCGGCTTCGTACTGCAAAGACATGTGCTGATCGTCTGCGTGCAAACGTGGATTAAGCGTGAATATCGTTCAAGGTTATGTGCAGCAGTCCACACAGTCCACCCGATATCTGTGTGACGTAGTAGTGAGCAGTTGTCATGTGTGACTGTTAACCCTAATTTCCCCTGTCAATCAGCAACCGGCCTCGCCTTCCAACAAGTATAAGGAGGCAATGGGTGGCACGGCGAGGAAGACCGAATTAACTTGGGTTGAAAGGATTCACGAAAACTTATGAGAGGTGACTTGCGTTGCGCCAGATGTAGCATACTTAAAAAGCGCACATTTTCATTTTTGAGAAAACTGGTGGGTTCCAGTCGAATATCAGATAAACTATATGAACACATTGCTTGGAATATGGGCACGAGTGTCTCTTTACCTTGGTTGCGAGTGGGTAGCCAGTGCGACTTTCCGGCGAACAGTATGAAGGTGAGTACATCAATCATGCAAACTAAACTGCATTTTCACGAGCCGGCGTTACATATCCCACCTTCAAACAATCAAGTAGCATCTGCATTTGCAGGACAGACAAGATGAGGACTTGAACCAAAAACGCAAGTATGGCTTTCCAGTTTTATCCAGTGTGATTATTAATTCAGGTGGTCTGATTGACTGCAGCTGAGACCAGTCAATTAGGCTGAGTATGTGAAAACAGTACGACAATAGATTACCGTCTTTCCATTCTCTAAAGCCTATTGAGTAGAGTCAACCCTCGAAATTATGCCACTCTTCTTCTTCGTCTGGAGGCCAAATGGAAATACGAGCGGCAAACCATTCATCTGTAAAATACGGTGATGCCAATGTGGTGCGCAACCGCAAAATTGATAGCTTAACAAGAAAAACACCTCAGTAGCTCTAAATCTACCTGAGAAAGTAGTCTTTGCACATCACATTCGGCCGAGAAATATCCTTAATTTGAATTGCTACTCAGCATTACATCAGTTTGCCCATGAGCACACAACGTGTAAAACACAGGGGTCAGACTATGGCAAAGAATGGTTCATCGAGTAATAGGAAGATATTTTGTAGACGTTTGTAAATATATTCAGCTTATTTGGCCTCCTTATTTCTTTTTTAGGAAGGTAAATGGCAACGGGTCCCTCAGCCTTGCATCGAAAACCGGTGCACTCGTTCCACAACTGGTACAGACAAAAATACATCGGTTCACCCATTTCTCCGACATCATCTTTCTGAATGAATGCTGACAAGACGTGACCACTTCTTCAATTCTGAACGCGACAATTCTGGACGAAACTCACAAACTGACTTCGCATTTTGGAGCAACCGATTTCCCATAAAATTTCTATTCAGCTGAGTAGGCGCATGTCAATCTTCGTCATCATCATTATTCGAATAAGTGTACCAAAACTAAATGCTTCATTAAAACAACGCTTTTTATTTCATACAGTCTCAGTTCACAACTGAATCTTACCCGCAATTTTTATGAATTTTTTCTGCACATTTTACAAGTTTTCTGATCCTTGTTGCCGTGCCTAAAAAGATTTTGTTTCTATCTCCTTTTATGGATCTTGGGGTATCCACATCTGCGGTTACTCTTCCCGTCTGCTAACTAACTACGTCTTCTCAAAATCGCATTTTTTATTTAAAAGTTGGGATGAGCAATTCTTTTATCGGAGCATAAAATATGGACAGAAATGATGGAACGAAGACAACACACCCGCCTTTCATGCAGCAAATTCTTTTGACATTTCTGTTGGTGCAGCTTTCCACAATACCTGTTTACGAAAACTGCGCAATTGTATGGGAGTCTGTAGTATACAGAAAGACACATTTGCACCGGAACCACGTAGTTGGATTGCCCGTTCAACTGCACACAAGAAAACAAAAACTAACTTAGTGACAAACAAGCGATAGGTTATACAATCTGAGATGACAAAATTCATTTCCGTAGCAAAACCATCTGACTAAGTCAGTCTGGTCCTTCGTGTAACCTCGTGTCGCCGGCAACATAATTTTGAGGACTTGGTAACAAAACATTGAGATATTATTTTGAAAGCAAAAGGACTGCTTACGGATCATCCGAGTTTAGATGACCAAGGAGGAATTGTTGCAATTAATCTAAGCTTAATCGGGTTATACACCAAGCTGTACTTTGCATCATTGTTCAACCAAAGAAAACTAGACGAAAGATTTTGAGAGCAGATTGAGAAGGCGTCGTCAGATAGGACTTTTGTGGCAAAAGGAGGAACGAATGTCGCACAGATAATGTACACTGAAGTAGTATTTTCGAGGGAAGATCGCACATCACGGGCACAGCAGAGACGTAGGCCTTTGATTTGACTTAGAAAACAATTCTAATAACCTGTTTAGCTATTGGCGATCTTGCGGCTAACTGTCTAAAAGTCTCCTCATAAAAGAGTAGTTAGAAAGAAAATGTTTTCAGCTCCGACAAACAGTCGACTTCCTTCGTTGAGTCCATCTTCGCTCAGTCAAAACATAAGCTGGACCCCTGTTCGAAGCAGTTGTCCACTGGAATACACTTCATTTTAACAGTCCAGACCAAAGCCCTTGAAATGGACAATTGTGGATAAAATTTTCAGTCGTGTGTATATTCGTTTTATGTGCACTAAATCCATGCTCATCTGTTTTCATGTGTCTTGGCCGAGGAATGTATACTTCCCCAACAGGCACCCCGATAGCTTAAGTTAAGTAAGCACATTCAAATCAGAGTGAGTCTCATGTGCAAATTTCTTGTTTCGCAGGTGAGAAACAGGGTCAGCAGGTGGCGTCGTTAAGTGCATGAAACTGGCAAGTTATATCTAGTTGCATAAATACACAGTGGTTGAAAGAGAAAGGTAACGCAAAGTTAGCGAAAGTACACATAAGTAAGCGTACAAAAGCGCCAAGATTAAATTTGTACCAGGAAGAGCCTATAGAAAAAAGTTGGCCAGGCACATAATCGTATCAATCTCGATAGCGTACAAATTGAAGTCGTTTTCTACTTCAGCTTCAAATAGACTGTTTCGGCGTCATTCGAAGGAATTGAATCGCGCGATGCCCCGTTAAGTGGCCATTTTTTACTGGATTTGCGATGCGGCCTTCTATGCCATACAGGGTCTTGTTCATCTAGAAATGTGCACATCCGTGCAAAAGGCCAGTGTACAATCAGGTCAGCGCAAGCAACAAAATCGATCTCTAAGCTCCGATTCACTTAGCACAGCAAAGTCCTCTGTCATACAAAGGGTGCACCTGAGATATTCGATTCAGCGGGAAGAAGATCCCAACATGTGTCATCGGCTGGACTCCTAGTGCCATCAGGGAGTTATCGATACGGATAAAGACCGACAGTTTTCTACAATGACCAGAATAGTCTTCCCAACAGACTTCTCCGCAGCGTGTGATCAGTCTTTTTCGACCATCGGCTGCTAGCTAATTTTCCTGAGGTTAACATTCAGGTACTTGAACTCTGAGTACAAAACAAGCTCAGGCGATGGCTTTCTATCCAAACTATCGTTGAGTGAGTTCATTGACCGATGAGAGCTAATGCAGCCTCAGTGGAGTTAAAACTTCCCCCTCGTGGTTTGCAACATCTGTAGCACGGCACAGTCAGATTTGTGCCATAGCGCGGGCAAAAATAGTTATTGTCTTATTTCGCGTCCTCCTGGAAAGGTGTTCGCGAACAAACCACTTGTGACTTTTGAGCCAGGTAGAAATGTGATGTTTATTGGACCAATGCAAACATTCAACTACATGGGTCTGCCTACTCCCTGAACCTTACGGTGGTACTTCTCAGATACCCTCAGGAACAAGCAGGACCTCCGTCTCAGGGGCCCTAATGAGCCCACCATGACTAGCTCTCATGGACGGCGGAAGAAAGCACGGCCGGACGGTCCCCCGTTTTCCAAATTCAGCAATCTCCATTTGAGCCTCCGTATATTGGCTGTGTCAGGAGTCATTTGAAAATTAATCCAAGTGCTCTTTGCGTTTTTATCTTTTTTGCCTTCCTAAACCATCTGTCTCTCCCCGATAAAACCAGATGCCATTATTGTTGAAGTCAACCTTTGGACCTCATATCGCCCGCGAAACTGGTCACTGTCTTGTTCTGTCTATAAAACTTTCGGAACTAGCGTCGGTGGATTGCGTCGCAATAATATATGTAAAATGCTTTGAATGCAATTTGTGCACTGTTAACCACATTTCTGAACAATACTAAATTAAGGATGGATGTTTAACATACTGTCATTTATGTATACCCTCCACATGGCACTGTGATTTCCTTCCTCTTCTGGAATTTATATAGCGGTTTTTACTTCTTGTTCTGAAAGGCAGCGAACCTTGCTCGCTCCAGACCTCACCATATCACGTTATCGGTGTTACGACTTCACTACATACTACGCGCTGATGAAAGCGTACATTCCTACACGAAGGCAATTTTCTACTTGGCTTTTCAGCATAATTTAGAGCCCACCAGGGCAAATTGGAGAACACTTATCTATCTCATTCAGCGTGTTGGGGGTGTGATATACAGGCCTTAATCTTACTTGCACCGCCGTTTACTGCTATTATTTTTATACATTTTGTCACAGAAAAATATAAAGTAATATGAGGGATGGCCAGTGGATTGTTATTATTTCCTTTTGCGGTTCGATCCAATACAGGGGAGCAGGCTAAAGTAATCGCATCGTTGGGATCAAGGAACTCAAGCCATTGGGATTATTGTTAGCCGAACGTACAGCAGCAGAGCGTCAGCGTTGAACAATGATGTCATGACGTCGAAGACTATGAGGCTTATTACTAGCTGTAGCATTGGAAGAATATCACGGACTGGTTATAGCACACATTTGCCCTTCATGGGCGGCAATGAGTTGCTGATTTAAAGAACGTGTAAAACGTAACAAAAATACCTGACGATCAATCAGTTGGTATCTTCCGAGTGTGTGTAGCGTTTGAAAACATGGTCTGTCTGGTAAGGAAACATCAAGGAACTCAAGCCATTGGGATTATTGTTAGCCGAACGTACAGCAGCAGAGCGTCAGCGTTGAACAATGATGTCATGACGTCGAAGACTATGAGGCTTATTACTAGCTGTAGCATTGGAAGAATATCACGGACTGGTTATAGCACACATTTGCCCTTCATGGGCGGCAATGAGTTGCTGATTTAAAGAACGTGTAAAACGTAACAAAAATACCTGACGATCAATCAGTTGGTATCTTCCGAGTGTGTATAGCGTTTGAAAGAGCCGAGACGTTTTTCAGCTAATCATATCAATGCCCCCATAAGCACATTTTCCGTACAAAGCAGGCCATTCCAACCAGCGGTGAGCTATTACCATGCTGAATCGATGCCTCCTCTCCAAGATTTAGTTAGCCAAATGCACCTCAATTCCCTTGTGTTGACTTGGTTACTTATCATACGTGCGGTGACTTCGAATAACGATGTCCATTCTAATAAAAACTAATTAACCTTGCAGATTTCAAGATATTTAGTAATTTCGGGATACAGGATACCGATTTGCCGCCATGGTCGACTTCAGTTTGTGGGTCAACGTTGCTATTTTTCACCCTAGCTAATACTTTAACAGTTCAAGGTCGTCTGTGGTTGCAACGGCTACCAACTTAAGTTTAAACTTTTCACATTTGCTGCTAACAGCTTCAGTTATGCTCATCTGGTTAACCCAGTGTCCATTTTCTACATCACAGTATAAATGTCCGTCTCGCTCTTGATGTGTTAAATTGAGGCTTGCTCTGTCTGTTATCCCGAAACATCCAATGTGTCATTGCTATGGTTTGGTCGTGTATATCTTACAAGATTTCGCGTGCACCGAATCTTGCCCACCTTGTAGGTAACTGCTAACTCCCCCACAATTTTAACCGCTCTGACATGGCATTGTTTGGCAAATTTCCTGAACCAATTTATTGGCACGTGCAAATGTTTCTCCAATGACAGATAAAGAAGACATACTCTTATGTCTTATGATCTTCAGAACAAACAGGAATTCTCTTATAAAGACGGACTATTCTAACTTTCGATTTTTCACCTTTCGTGATGGGCAGATGAATTGACGAAGGGATAAAAAGCGTAGATAAGTAGAAGGCTTTATCCAACTTTTCGCTTCAAATCATTTTTGAACGGTCCGCCAGCATTTTAATCACTCTTGTAAACTACAAATAGGCCCGCATCTGTACAAACATTGCAGTCATAGTTCAAATTTTCTTGAGTGGAGGCTTACTACCAATGGAAATGTTGTGTAAACACTGGGTGCAATATGCATTTGCGAAAGCAGAGCATTGTGACACTAGATTTACTGTTGTATGCTTTACTAATGAGTAAACATAGATGGCAAAATCTTTGCGCTGCACTGGTCATGTAGCCGGAGCTCTGATATAAATTTGTGGTTCAGAAGGTTGGTGGTTTCCTTCTTTCGACTTATTTTAGAGGGGCTAAGGGGTTCACTAGTTTCGCTTGCAGTAAGGATTTTAATTATTATAACGGGACTCTACCTAATTTCTTCTGTTGCTTCCGCTTAGAGTCGTTGTGCAACCCTTGAAACTGATATCCACTGTATGCTACACTGCCGAGAAAACCATGAACGAAGTGCTTTGCTTCCATTCATTTTTTGGAGATAGGATTAAGTCTTGACCCCGAGAACGGGTGCAGCTTGTCT